GTTAACTCAGAAGTTTATGTTGTAATTCTGGACTCATCTTTGCTAGACACTATCGAGTACTATGGGCTGGACAAGAAAACGTTTAGATTCCAGCAAGATAACGCAAGACCACATACTTCTGGTCCCATTAAAAAATGGTTCACGCATCACGGATTCTCTGTTCAAAATGTCCTTGATTGGCCTCCCCCAAAGCCCTGACCTAAACCCCATTGAACATGTCTGGCATCAACTAAAACGTCGTTTGAACAAGTACCCTACTAGGGCCACCAACATTTCTGAGTTAGAAGACAGAATTGAACAGGAATGTTATAAATTCACAAAAGAAGACTGTCTTAAATACATAGGCAGCATGCCACGCCGAATCAAAGCGGTTATCAAGAGTAAAGGTGGTCCAACTAAATATTGAGCTTTTTTATAAGATTTAATAAATTCGACTTTTCACTTTTCATGAGGCTACCATTCTTTTTCTAATTACGTGAATAAAGTGCATAATATATCATCTGATAGCCAACTACTTAGGCTATTTATGGAACTAAGAAAACCCCAGTAGCTTTGATATTTGCAGAGAAAACTGGCTATAAGTGCAATTTGGCAAAACACTGGAACGTTTTTTTCGCGCACTGTAGTACTAGCGTATCTGAAGTCCATATCCTCTTATAGTATAAATCGGTATCGTACTACATTGTGTTTAGGATATAGATCATCTCTGAGAGGCAAATGTATTAGGCGTTGTATATTACATAAGAGGATCTGAGAATGAGCTGAGATGCATAGTAGAAGTGAGAGGTCTTTATTCAAGCAGCACGAAGGAACATGAGTGGTGCCATCAAATGGCTAATCTATATCCTGGTTCCTAGAGAGTGGTAGCCTATGGTCTTTCGTCCCTGGAAGTGGGTTTCAATTCCGACAAATGTTCTTCCGTCAAAGCTATTAGGAAGAACATTCTATCCTGGATCATCTTTGTTGTTTATCCTTGACTGGTGGTTCATGAGTTCTGATGCAGCACATCCTCGTTACTGGTTCAAGGCTTATACAATTATCCCGCATTCAAGATCAAGGTCCTATTGCTGCGGCACTGTCAAATAACTATAAATACCTTTGATATCTACACTAGTTTTGATCCCTATTCAATCTTGGAATAACATAATAAATATATTCAGTTCTAATTGTATTTACTCTGTCTATATTTCATTATTCTAAACACATTGTTGTGCCAGAAGGGCTACAACTGTCTATAAGATTAAGGTATTCTTGATGGGTAGATATGTCTGTGTTGTGCAACAACATGGATAAGCTACGATAAGTGAAGTGCATCTCAGCTATCTAAATACTGAGGTTCACCAGATGTGATAAGCGTTATACAAGGTAAATTGCTACTTTGGCATTCAGAACTTAGTATAAATAGAATAACTCTTGTCTTCATCAATAAATCTTTAGTTTTTGTGTCTGATCTTATTCAAATAAGTCTTTCCTTGTTTTTATAATATCGAACATTTTTTATAAGCTACAAATAATAATCCTTTTATTCTTTGTGCTTAACATACATCTAATTCAGTGCACATATAGTTTGTATCTAAATCTGGTAACTGAATGAACTGTCGGAATGCAGATCATAGTGGATGTATTCCGCAAGCGTAATTGACTTACTCTTCTAGCAATGCAACCGACTACCCCCTTCGTTTTAGGTCGAATTCTGTTCAAATCTAGTCATTTTTAAGCACGAATAACTCATGTCACAAAGCGTTTTGAGGGCTTGGATTAGTACCACACGCCTCCTTTTGGCCATGCTTTACTTCCTGATGCTTTATCTCAAAATTCTTTGGTTCATTGCAAATCCATGAAAATTCGCATATTTTCCATGTGTATTAGCAAGGGAAAATTCTTGAAAATCAAACGATCGCGTTTTTCACCTCAAAAATGAAGACTTTTCTTATGATACATATTAGATCAAATTGATTGTAAAAATGGAATGCAACAAAACCCTTTCTATGAGGCTTGTATATGCTAAATTTTGACATATTCACAGAAAACCTGTTTTCATATTTTTGAAAATTGCTCATTATTTTCAGTCTAAAGACTAAATGTAACCAGCATCATTCGATGCGCCTTTAATGACTCTTTATATACGCAATAGAAAGTAAAGTATAAGAATGACAATTTTCATAGTCAAATATAGCAAAAACGTTTAAAGGATGTCAGATCAAGCCAAAATTGAACACAAAAATGACAACTGCACAAACCCAAATTTGAGTGCCGCAGCGACAGCTGCTGTGGCAGAAGACTGAGGCCAAATTTACTAGCCGTGACGTCGGATAGGGCGCCCTCTCATTTTTCCATATCCCCGTTTTTTTTTCCTTTTGCAAAACGCGTTTAGTATCAAACCATGTTGGTTTGGAAACCGTTCGAATGATAATAACACTCCAACTTCTGATCACACTCCCTTGTATTGCTAAAAGAACTTGGCACTGCTTCTTTGAAGAGGAGTATAGTAGGTACCATTCGATAGACGAGCACTGGAAGACGTAGAATCAGTACTAATAACTGAATTTGTTTGTTAGGTTCTGATAATTTTTTTGCCTGTTTGACGTGGGTGCTGCTGCCATTCCTTTTCTGCTTTCTCTACTGTCTGCTTCTTGGTCTTTGTCTGGTCTCTGCTGGTGTTGCTTATTGTTTGGTCTTTGTCTGGTCTCTGGTGTCGTTTGTTCTCCGGTTTTTCCGTGGTGCTGGTGTTGCTGCTGCTGTTGCTAATATGGTCTTCTCTGGTGTACTGTGTCTGGTGCATGCTTTTTCTTTGGTCTATATCCGGTGATTGCGTATCCTCTGGTCTATCTGTGGTGGTGGTAAGTGGTAAGTATCTTCTTTCTTCTGGTCGGAATGATATAAAACTACTTTGAATGTTTGTATTATTGCTTCCTTTCTCGTGATAATGCATTTTATCATGATATTTACTTTGTTGCGCTTTCTTCTTCTTTCGCTGGTTACGTTGCCTCTGTGGCTTCACATGAGACAACGTTAGTCATTATGTTGCAGTGCAAACTTATACCACCATTGCTTTTGCAGTTTTGTGTGTTTGCGTTACTTTACATTCGACTATTACCATGCACTTTGCTCATGTATGCAATTTTGTTGCAACAACGAGCTCTTTTGAGCATCTCTGATGTTGTACTTGTTATACTTTTCTTTGAATCGCTTTGTGTGAGTATCCATTTTTTGCCCATGTACTACTATACTCCTATAGTGGTATGTTCTTTTATTTTTTCCTTTATTATTGTTATGTTTCTTTGAAGCATGCCTTTTTTTTACGTTGTGTGGATGTGCCTATCCCTGAAGCTCAACAAGACTCTATCCGAGACTAGGAGGTAGATAGGCTGTCTCCACTTGGTTATCACTACTTACTTTAGTGATGATTGAGAGTCTCAATGCCAGAATCTAAAGCTAGGTGGTGTAAGTAAGGCATGCTCTAGCACTTGGGGGAAGTTTGATGATAGCAGCGGCTATATTGCTATTATAGCGGCGCTTAAAATTTTGCCTCACATCAAAACAGGGGGAAACCCTCGCAAAATTTTTTTTAGGTCAGCGGAGTTTTCAAGCAACCTGATTGGCTCAGAGGTTGGAACAACGAAGGGTTACAACCAGTTGATTTCCTATTGATCTGTCATTTATAATAAGCTTGTGTTTGTAATAAAAGAATGACCAAATGAATACAGTTTAAAGCCTTTATGTTATATCGAATGTTATAGCAAGGTCTCACACTAAAGGTTTTTGGCTATTCTTAGGTCCTTTGGTTAAATCATGCTAATCATGATTTACAAATCAGTTGTTGGCTAGATAGTAAACCTATTTGTATTATAGTTCCTCATCATACTGTAAACCCTAGCATAATGAAAAAGTGTATAAATGCATCCTTGGGATGCATACTCAATAAAAGTGTAATTCTTTGGCAGATTCAATTTTACATTGTATTTTGACATAACACTTTATTTAAAAGTAAGATAAGATGCAGTTATTCTATCTGGCATTTATTACACAGTTTTATGCCAAAGATATTCTTTAATAAATTCATTATGATGTGAGGAAAATCATATAAGTACAGCAGTACGCTAAATTAAAAAGTTGCTGATTTCAAGTTTTTGTTGCATAATTGGCATGTTGGTAATTCATACTTTGAAAACTAGGTAGCCGTAGCATGCTTTGTTCCACTCTATTAAGCCTTTTAGTTTAAGGTATTCATATTACTTTTGGATAATACCTTCCCCACAAAAATGTGTATCTCACCAAACAGGTGTCTCTGGTCTCCTCCTTTTTCATTTTTTTTTTCTTTCAACTTGTTCTAATTTTATCGCATCCTGGGAACTCCGCGTCAGTCTTTATGTATGGTTATGTTGGCCAACGGAAATAACCATTTAGCTTGTAATAAATGATCCCAAGTTCGATTCCATATTTCAAGATGTTTTTGCATGATCCTTGAACATCGTGAGATGTTAATATGATAAGAAATTCGATAAAGCTGACAATAGAGGTTTACCTATCACTTTTTGGACAGGTAATGAAGCTTTTTGTATGACAGTCCACCATTATGCTCTAATCCCTAGAATGCGTTACGAAAACTATAAAAGTGCATCCTCATATTGCATCTCGACATTGCGTTTTGTCGGCATTATCACTCTTAGATTTTCGTTTGGAAGAGTAAGTGTCTTGAAAATGAAACTCTTCTGACGAAGATTAACTGTGCAATGATTGATAATTTCTATAGATGATTTACCAGTAAACTAATATTTATTCTTTCTAGACATGAGATCAAGGTATTTTTTATAGGGTTAAAAGATATAATATATAAATGTACGAGATGTAAGTGTATAATATAGTGGTGTAGGAGGCAAAGTATAATAAAAAAAAAAGACATAAGCGATATCAAGAAGGATAATAAAACAGAAAAAAAAACTACGATTCTAATTTAAATCAAAGTGGATGGGGGAATATGTTGCTTAAACATTTTCTTTTTAGTGTGTCAAATTACTCGATTGCCCTATCGACATATTGTTCAATAGACTTTGAACAACTATAAAAGAGTGTTAATAATGCCATCATTCAAAGAAAGCCACATTTACTTACTAACAGTTTCATCAGCAGAAGAGTGGTTTAATGAAAAAAGAGCTGGATATTCTAAAGACTTGTCTATACCATTAACATTTTTTGTTGCTGTAGTTGATGAAGATGTACAAGGTGTTGCAGTGGCATTTGCGTTTGATTTGGTTGAAGATGCGGCAGCAGCAGCTGTTGTTGGAGTCGAAACAGATGATGATAATGCAAATTTCACTGCTGCAGCAGAGGGGGATAAGGGGTTACTATTGCCATTGGCGGTGGCTGCTGCAGTGGTGGTAGTTGAAGATGGATAAATCAATGGAGGGAGTGGGGTTTGGGTATGAATATAATTGTTGATTTGGAAAGGTAAGTTGGTCGACTTTTTAGGTGAAGAAGAATCCAGCATAATGTCAGGCATTGATTGAGTTGAGTGCATTGAACTGTTGTTACTTCCTGTAGATGTAGATGACGTGGGGACAACATAAGCATTGTTGAATTCAGGTTTGGCTCCAAGAGGCTGATAAAATCCATTACTGCCATTGTGGTGATGATGAAGGTGATGGGTATTGTGATGATCCATCGAATACAGCATGGAGTGCTGTGGTTTAGTTTCTACGAAGCCAGAGAGAGGAGGACTACCGACGAAACCATTCAGAGATACTTGCTGTGGTGGGTTAGACCAAATGTCCAAGCCATTCTGGGCACTGCTTGTGGGAGGAGGGCCGCCACGGAAGCTTAGTGGAGATACCAGCGAGATGGAAGGTGGTGGAGGTGGCTTGTTTGCCTCTGGAGTATCAAAAATTGCACGGATGTTTTCAACGGTCTTGGGTGAATTCATGTCTCTAAAGTTTTTCCATGAAGCATCAAGAGCATTGCCGCTGGTTGAACTGGGATAATCAAACAATGAATAGCTCTTCAGACCACTGTTCATACCGGGCAACGGTGGTGGAGGAAAGTCATTCAAAAGAGAAGATGAGGATGACGGCGTTGGAGAAACCAGGTCAGACGGCAATGCTGATGGCATCATTTTGCTATCAAAAGCCATGGCAGCGGAGAAAGGGTAGTTACTTGAGTTTGGTACTGACATGCCTGCAACAGTAGGGTTGGCCGCATGTCTAACAATAGCGCTGTCTTCGTACAAGTTGACTTGCTGACTCTTGAAGTAGCTAATGAGGACCTCCAATGATACATTCAAACAATCCAGGTTTCCCTTTGTCATCTTAAACGCAATGACCTGGTCGCTCTCGTTTTCACCTTCTTGCTGTTTCTTCGTCTTCACCTCTACCAAAACGTTGTAGTCGCTTGCAATACGTTGAACGACTTCTTTGTATGAATCGGATTCCAAAACTGTGTTGAGGTGAGTTGAGTAAGGCAAATGAACGTCGTATTCCTCAGGCACAACTGATCTGACCATTTGAGCAGCTAAACCGACCTGGGATTCAGGGCCAACTAGCGTCAAGCAATCACTTGCTACTTCATCGTCGGGCCAAATCAGATGTGTGTTGGTTTTTTTAGTCATCTCTGCTAAATAGGCAGCTTGATCGCGAATCAATGTACGGTGCAGCCAGAAAGGTATATCATAAAGCACTTGCTCGACGCAGTCTCTATCCTTGGGATTGATCAAATCCATCACAGCATGTCGCAAGTTCTCCAGGTTAATTTGATTCTTCATCGGCGTTCTGGCCACTACATTGTCTTCATTGTCGTAATAACCGCCCAGGGCAGCGAATTCCTCAGCATTGGAGAATTTGACATAAACACCATACTTCTTCATGATGCGCTGAATATTTTTACCACCAACACCAATGATCCGTTTGTGATATACTTCGGGTACGTAGAACGATATTTCAGCAGGCAGTTCCTCTTGCAATAGCGTCAGACCGTCCAATGCTTTGTTAAAGTTGTTGCTTTCGACCTCGATGATAAAATTGTATTCGCTGAATGGCACAAACTTGATTTTGGCGCCTGATGTCTTCATGATCTTGTTAATCTTTCCACTCTTCTTTCCGCTGATGAACTCGCGCTGATCGTTTGATAATTCGACGTTGAAGACTGTGCTCTGGTGAAACATCTTGAGGAATGACATATCATGCAGACGTTGGTAGACATGGCGAATCGCTCTCTCAGTACCATACACTTCGATACAGCCAGGATCAGTGCGGTAGGACACTTCAGCACCCGATACTTGCGATAATTGAGATACCAAGGCTATGATATTGGCAATTGAATTGAAAAACGTATGAACAGCGTCCGCACCATAAATAGCGCCATCACGATTAAAATAGAAACATGCTTCATAGATGCCACAGGCCTAATATTTTATAGTTAGCACGTTTTTCACACCAAGAATGGAATTTTGTTGTTATTGCTGCTTACCAAAAAGTGAAGGGAACGAAGGGTACGCTCAGCATTGACTCTACTTTCAGCATAGACAGTAACAAGATTGCCGCTAGAACCCATCTTTGGAAATGATACAAATGAGCCATTGTCTCTCATGATTTTTCGCAAGTCGCTTCTTCGATGCAGCAACATCCAGTCTAATTTTCTAGGGTGCAAAACGGCATCTTTATGGTACATAGACTGAGCCTTTTTGGCATGTTAGTTTTTTTTCAGTAGTGCTCTTTCAACTGTAAATGTATACCTTTTGTGCAGCCAATTTTGTTAGCATGTCTTTCACGCGTGCTACATCGCTTGCTTCTCCAGTGATGTAAATTAGAGGAGAATAGTCTTCATTGGCTTCCTCAAAGATGAAAGGAGATGGAAAGTATATAGATGTGGCCGTTTCCTCCAAAATTGATTGAAGGCCAGTACGCTTTCTTCCACAAATTAAATGATGTAATTTGTATGGAATTGCGACAGTATCTACATCTAATTGTGACTATAGCGAACAGTGAGTCGAATGAACACTACATAATCAACGATATACCTACCATTTTATCTAACATGACAAGTGTACGGACTCGAGCGAGATCAGCATTGTCGGGTATACCGGTTATATGAATATTCACAGTATTTTGAGAGGCAAAGGATGATTGAGGAATAGGTTCAGTGATTGAGATTGTCGTGCTCGTCTCGTTGGCAATCTTTTCGCATTCGATTCTTAGCTTTGTGCAGTCTTGATCAGGAATTTTCAAGTTGAGATGAGTCTACACAGGCAATTGTTAATTTACTGTAAAATTTTTTCGTGGGCTTTTGTCTTACTTTCGTAGGATATAAGTTCAATATCTCGGTTCTAGTTGCCATGACACTGTCTGGTTGACCAGTTAAAGTAAGATTTGTACCCTCAACAATAATTTGACAGGTCAAGGAAGAAGCAGGCAGTTTGTCTGCTTGCCCAAAACAAAATGAGAATGCACAGGTCATGATAGATTTCGTAATGTTGTTGTAAATATTGTTGTGATGTGGTATGTTTGCTCTCTTTATGTCTTTCTTCTTTTCTTTTCTTCTTCTTCTTCTTTAGAATGAAATGGGTAAATAATCTAATTAATATAAAATCTGTATTTAAGTATAGGTTTTATACTATATACAAGAAAATATTCAATAGATGATATGGATAAGATGAATTAGAAAAAAAAAGGGTAAAAAAAAAAGAAAAAAAGGGATATATGTAAATGAAATGAAGAAGAAAGTTTAAGAAATAAACTCAAAAGAGAAAAATGTGTTTATATAGAAGGCAAACGAGGAAAAAGGGAAAGGAAAGGAAAAACTGTTACGTTCAAAAAGTACAAGACCATCTTTTTCTAGCCAGAAAGAGAAAAAACTTGTTTGATTTAATCATAAATCATATTTCAACAAAAATTACATTGGGTTATATTTACAAACGAAACATGTCATTCATCTCGGTCAATTTCTATGGTAATGTATGTTGCCATCAGCGTCGTTGTCCATCATTTCATTTCACGGGTTTGGTAATGTAATAGTATATGAAGAGACCCCCCTTGTAGCAATCTTCGCTTACCTATTGGCTATGTTTCGAACAATTGAGTCTCTTTCCTTTGCAGTCACCTGAAGCTTGATAAATTTTTCTAAAACATTGTGTTGTATCGAGTGCGATAGTATGCACAAGCAGAGCGATAATTCCAAACAAATTTTGCCATCTTTTAATATAAACTTAAATGTACATAAACAATCAAGATTTGAGGTTGCAAAGAAAATATATATTCATCACTATTGCTAATCATGATATTGGCAACTCGATTAGCACTCAGATCAGATGTTTCTCAACGATGCCAGCAAGATGTGATTCTCGATCTGGCATTGTTACCATAGCAACGACACTGGTTGCCATGGAAACAATCATCGGCAGCGATCTCTAGATTCAGGTACCAAGTAGGTAGCATATATCCATCCATAACTTTAGGTTTGGCTAGCTGTCATTTGACAAACATCAGCATCATTCAGATGAAGAAATCGCCAATGTTTCGCGCGTTCACATTTCCTATTTGGGGATGTGCCCCTTTAGCCCAATCAGATTCATTTACATTTTCAAATTCAAATCCTCTCCCTGTGTGTGTAATGATGTTTTGATTGTGTGCGCAATGTCGAAGTAAACTGTTTCCATTTCTTTCTTTTGTTTTTCTTCACTTTATTTTGCAAAAATGTCAGACATGTCAGACGATGATTTCCAGCCTCTCGAGCCCACTCTTCAAAATGTATTAGATCAAACTTCTCTTCATTGGATTTTTGTCGGTGGAAAGGGTGGTGTAGGTAATGTATTTTGGATAAAGTGGAGCTGTGTGAAAGCAAATGTTGACTGGAAGAAATTCAGGTAAAACAACCACTTCTTGCTCCTTGGCTGTTCAACTCTCCAAGGTTCGCGAGTCTGTCTTGTTGATCTCTACTGATCCCGCTCACAATCTTTCTGACGCGTTTGGCCAAAAATTCTCCAAAGAAGCCACTGTCGTAAATGGCTTTGACAATCTCTACGCTATGGTAAAGTATTATGGTCCGGCAAGGAAATCAATGCGAATTTTAACCCATTTGTTATAGGAAATCGATCCTACTTCCAGTATCCAAGAGATGGTTGAGCAATGTAAGCGAATATTATATACTTCCAATTTGGATTAATATATTAACTTTCATCTATAATTTATAGCTGATCAAAATAACCCAATGGGTGGTATGATGCAGGACTTAGCTTATGCTATTCCTGGTGTAGATGAGGCTATGGGTTTTGCTGAAGTCATGAAACAAGTAAAGACCATGTCATATTCTGTTGTTGTGTTTGATACTGCACCAACAGGCCATACTCTTCGTTTCTTGTCTTTCCCCACTGTTCTCGAAAAGGCTTTGGCCAAAATTAGTGGTTTGAGTAGCCGTTTTGGTCCTATGGTTCAACAAGTTTCTGGCATGATGGGTATGAACGCTAACCAAGAGGATATGTTCTCAAAGCTGGAAGAAATGCGTTCTGTTATTACTGAAGTCAACAACCAATTCAAAGATCCTGTAAGTATTGAGAATGCGGAGAAAGGAGAGGAGTAAGTGTCTAATGGAGATGTATATTAGAATACCACCACCTTTGTCTGTGTCTGTATTTCCGAATTTTTGTCCTTATATGAAACTGAACGTATGATCCAAGAACTGACCTCATATCACATCGATACACATAACATTGTCGTCAACCAATTACTATTCCCTAAAGCAGGTTCAAACTGTGAGCATTGTACAGTTAGAAACAAGATGCAACAAAAATATTTGGACCAAATATACGATCTGTATGAAGACTTCCATATTGTACGTATGCCCTTGCTGACAAAGGAAGTGCGCGGTGTTGAGGAGATCAAGGAGTTTTCCAAGATGTTGGTGGAGCCTTTCCAAGAATCTAAAGAATCCAAATAAACAGCATAATTTTTACCATTCATCCATGTCTCTTTACTATTCTGTGATCTTTGAATTGCTGATATTTTCGATAAGGCATTTGGCGAGCATTCAACCAAGCCAGGCTTTGGTTGTTGCAGTCTGTTTATTAGCATTTGGCTCGCTACCGAGATTTCCACTCAACGCATTTCTCCGTAGAGTGTATTACTAAAATTACTAGCCGATCAATCTCGCTACGCTCGATGACGGCGTCGCCATGCGGGCTCTCGCCGAGATATTGTCATTGCAAAAGACACCTTTATGAGGCAAATCTCCCCCCAAAAAAGTATTTGCGTTAAGCAATTACCCTTTCAATTCCATGATCCCCATTTATTCAGCATCGCAATCATCATTGTCATCAACAGAAAAACATTTAGGTCAGCCAGAAGCAATGCCGCCGCCGCCAAAATTAATTCGAGCTCAGAATATTTTTTCTGTTCAAGATTGGACAGATATTGTCTTTTTCGACTTTATTAATTTACTTTATGACATTCGACTATATAAACTGTGCTGATCACCCTTCGCTTCCTGATACACCCAACTTAGTTCAAAAATTCTTATTCCCCTTCTTTGCAGACATTGGGTCCACCAACAGTCTTTTCTATCCCTCAGCATGACATTTAAAGGACTTTAAATAAAACCTGGAGCTCGACTCCCCTACAAAAAATCGCTTCCTGATACATTCTTGAAGTACTTTTCAAGACGCTTCCAATGGTGCTAGCTGTAGTAAGTGTTTTGACTGAACTTATTAAGCAATTTAATAAAATTTGAAATGAGGTTTTTAGAAAAAAACAACCATATTTTGCATATGAAAACCTCATAAAAGTGGTTTCAGAAGTTGCGTTGGATGGAGAGAAACATTTTGATTTAACATATACCACAGTAAAAGTCTTCATTTTCAAAGTGAAAAACACGATCGTTTGATTTTCGATGAAAAGCATGAGGTACCCCTCATGCTTTTTAGTCGATTTTTGGCTATGTTTTTTTTTGACCAAAAAGTTGAACAAAGGTGTCAGAAAGTTACTACTATTCAAGTACAATTGTTTGGCGTCATTCCAGTGGCTCATAAAGGTCGACTTTTCAAGATATGGAGGCTTGAAAGCTGTCAAATTTGGTTATGTATTGCTTTATAGAGTTATTGACACATTTTTGGTAGCTGCAATTTACTGAAAAGGCAGTTCTGTAGCTTGAGCAATTTTTAATTCGAGTAGAAGGAATATTGATTTTGGTAAAGCTGATTCATGCAAAGTTTGATGCGCTATGTTGCTGGTAAGCTTATTAACAATGGGAATGAAAAGCCGAATTTGCTGCTTAGATACTATGGTTTTGCATATTCGCTTCGCTACAATCAAGCCCTCGTATAGATCAATGCTATCAAATGCTGGATTGGATGCTTCGTTGTCATAGGTTTGCACCTTTGCTTCGCTACGGTAAAAATCCCCTATAAATCAATGCTATCAAGAGTTGAATTAGACGCGTTATGTTCTTCCCCCCAAACCCTCTTTCCATTACCGGCTTTGCTGGTGGTTTTATTCACAAGGATATGATTTGTTTGTCTATTTTTTTTTTGAATGTTTTACAGTATCTTAGTACTAAAATTATAAATCTGGACAGTGGTCAAAGTAATGTCTCATTATATGTATATCTGCTGGTTCAATTGACGCATTCCAGAGACTTTCGAATGATGTGGAATTCACAGCAGTAGTATTGAGTACAAGAGAGTATACTCACGAAATAGAATACAATTTAAAAGAGAATTTTAGAGTGATCAATTTCCCCTGAGCGGCTGATTAAGTAAGTGTTGGATCAACTTGAAACATTTGGCCATATTGTAGTCAACGATAGTATAAGCAAACGAATGCAATTGAACTAGAGACTAACTGTTCACATAAAATCAGTAATTGCATGTATTTGCTTTGATCCAATGCTTGCAGCTTACTGAAAACTTGAATCGACTGGCTATCATAATAAGGTTTTTAGTAAATACAATTACCCAATCATCAATACAACAAGCTTTATGTGTTGTACCTTGATTTGACTTCCGCGACTGATCAAGATATAAGCCTTCCTTTCATTTGACCCCAATTAAATTACCCCCTTTTTTTCCAAAAAGTAGAATCAAATTCTTTCTATTTCTTTCTTTTCGTTTCCTTTTAGTGATTTCTCCTTGATAAGATGGTTGCTGAATCAAAGTATTACGATATTTTGGGTGTGAGCCCTAGTGCTACTGAGGGCGAACTCAAGAAAGCTTACAGAAAACTCGCTTTAAAGTACCATCCTGACAAAGTATAGTATAAATCCAGTAGATCATGATACAGGAAAAAGCTAATGTGTATTTCTTTCTTTAAGAACCCTGATGCTGGAGACAAGTTCAAAGAGATTTCTCATGCTTATGAGATCTTGTCTGATGCTGAAAAGAGAGAGATCTACGATCAGTATGGTGAGGAGGGTCTCAGTGGCCAAGGTGGTCCTGGTGGTATGAATGCCGAGGACTTGTTTTCCCAGTTGTTTGGAGGAGGAGGCATGGGAGGCATGGGCGGAGGCGGCTTTTTTGGAGGTATGGGAGGTGGACGTCGTGGTCCTCAAGGCCCTCGTCGTGGAAAGGACATGATGCATCAACTCAAGGTCAACCTTGAGGATCTCTACCTTGGAAAGACCAGTAAGCTTGCTCTCCAAAAGAACATTCTCTGTAGCAAGTGTGATGGCAAAGGCGGTAAAGATGGTGCTGTTCAAGTCTGTAGAGGATGTAATGGTCAGGGTTCTCGTATCATGATGCGTCAAATGGGACCCATGATCCAGCAAATCCAACAACCTGTAAAGTAGTCAAGAGACGTTTATTTGATATTTGACTGACCTTTCCCATCTATACTAGTGTGGCGATTGTCGTGGAACTGGTGAAATTATCAACGAAAAGGATCGTTGCAAGCAATGCTTGGGAAAGAAGATTATGAGTGATAGAAAGATCTTGGAAGTGCACATTGAGCGCGGTATGCGTGATGGACAAAGAATTACCTTCTCTGGTGAGGGTGATCAAGCGCCTGGCATTGTTCCTGGAGACATCATTATCCAACTCGATGAAAAGGCTCATCCTTGTTTCACTCGCAAGGGTGATGATCTTATTTACGAAGCCAAGATCGATCTTTTGACTGCCTTGGCAGGTGGCCAGTTTGCAATTCCCCATTTGGATGATCGTGTGCTCTTGGTCAATGTCATTCCTGGCGAAGCTATTCAGCCCAACATGGTCAAGGCTGTCCCCAATGAGGGTATGCCTATGCATCGCATTGATAGCCGTGGCCACCTCTTTATCAAGTTTACCGTCGAGTTCCCTGAACCCAACTGGACTGATGAGGCTACACTGAAGAAGTTGGAGGCCATCTTACCTCCTCGCAACCCTGTGCCTTCAGTTGGTGATAAGCACATTGAGGATGTTGTCTTGGTTGACGCCGAGGCTTATCAACACAGAGCTGGATCAAATGCTTATGATGAAGATGGACATGAGGATCACCAACATGGTGGCGGTGGCGTCCAATGTGCTCAGCAATAATTTTGATTTGATTTAGACAAACTATTATATTTATGTATTCCCACAATATGCTTTCATGATTCTACATTGAACAATAAAATTTAAAATGAAAGACATGCCACCTACGACTGAAGGAAAATACCATTGCAGAGAGTACATGAGGAAGACGGGTAACTTGTACTTTATTGAAATTACAACTTGGCCTCCACTGAGGGAGCCATGGAAGCAGGAAGTTCCACTTCCAACCCGCTCAAACAGAGCTGAGCATATGTTTTGCCTTGTCTGTCAACAACCAGCGAGCTAAGGCCACCTCCGCCGAGCGAATGTGTCAAGACAAAGTTCATGGCATTGGGACCAGGCAACTCAAATCGAGTGACAGTGCCTTTGCATAAATGCTTCATGTAGTCAGCAACAACCTTCTCAGTAATAGAACGTTTGATATAGGGGAGGTATTTGGGATCACGAGCAATGATGCCAACATTGCAAACATCGCCCTTATCACCACTGCGTCCATAAGCAACATTGATCAAGCGAGTCTTGACAAGAGGACCCGTCAGGTCAGCTTCAGGAATAGCAGGAACAGGTGTAGGTTTGCTGTAAGAGGCATTGTTATCCCATGAGCCCCATGCGACTGTTTTGACTCCATTGTTTCCAACAACGTAGCTAGTAGTAACTTGTGATTTAGGTATTAATAAAGGGAAATGAACCATGTTGGGAATAGGCTTTGGACGACCTGCACCGCCGCCTGTGATGCCTGGAGCCATACAAGTGGCAGACTAGTTGCAAAGTGTTGAGTGAATGACTCTCCTTTTCATGTGGCAGCACCTAATACTTACAGGAATCGTTTCCAATGCTACAAGACCTAATGCTTTAGGGTCGTCATGATGAGCAGTTAGTCTCATCATGACTTCACGAGTGTCATTTGTTCTTGAATGAGGACTAGCACCATTGACAGAGATTAGATCATGTAAGCAAAAGAAGTAATTATGTAGCTAGACCTACCCAAACAGAGACTCGCCACCGAGAGCCTCGATATTGACATTTCTAAAGCCTGGAATTCCCATCTTTTTATACATAGTTTCAACTCGCTTGACGATAGCTTCACCAACAGCATGAGCCTTCTTTTTAGCATCCACACCACCAATCAACATCTCCCCAGTAATCTTCCAACCATCCAGGAAGATACCTGAACATTTAAGGTAAGGTGTAGGCTGGAGACCCTTGGCACCAGTGACAAGCACACGATTATTGCCAACTTGAGATAGTTTGACTTGACGCATATCCAAAATGACATCTGGAAGGAGGTACAATGATGGATCCAAGATTTCATACAAGATTTGCTCAGAAACAGTAGCTGGAGTGACCAATCCTCCGGTTTTCTCAGGCTTTGTCACCACAAATGAACCCGATCTGTCGAACTCAACTATGGGGTAGCCCATATTAGAATATCCACCAAAAGGAGATTGAGCAGCAAGATACCAGTCTGTAAAATTACCGCCTGTAGCATGACAGCCGCATTCAATTACATGTCCAGCAAGTGAGGCAGAAGCCATCAAATCATAGTAATTGGCAGTTCTGCCTTCTTCCCAGCCATATTCATACATCAAAGGAGCAACTACGAGGGCAGAATCAACTACACGTCCGGTGACGATGATTTGAGCACCTTCCTTTAGGGCAGCAGTAATAGCATGTGCACCCAAATAAGCGTTTAAAGACACAATAGGCTCGTCTTTGTCGGGCAAGCGGTCAGAGTCTTTGGCGTGGTCCACAGAGGATATAGTTGAGAAGGAATGCACATCTTTAAATCCGGCTAATGTACGATTTTCTTTATCAGCCAAGACATCATCGCCAACAATAGCAGCAACACGAACACCCTTGATGTTGAGCTTTTCCAGCAATGCTTCAATAGCTTCTTTGCATCCAATTGGGTCCAATCCTCCTGCATTGGTGATAACTTTGGTGCCATTCTTGATCAATTGAGGCAAGTTTTTGCTCAACACAAGGCTGAGAAATTCTGCAATGTAATCCACACCCTTGTCAGCCTTTCCAGTCATGATGCGGCGTTGACGACGAGCAGCCAGAATACCCATAGTGATTTCTAGACATCCATCAGCTTCACATCAAGTCAAAAATAATGCATTTTAATTTACCGGCCAAATAATCAGCTACCAGATAATCCAAGTTTTTTCCTTCATGCTCAATGAGCTGAGCCGCGGCAAATGTGGAATCACCCCAAAATGCAGAGTAGCAACCGATACGAACAGGACGATTTTGAGAAGACATGATGAGAATAAAGAGAGTATAATTGAGGTAAAAAAAAAAAAAAAAAAAAAAAAAAAAAAAGTGCGTGCCTTGATATAATAGAGTGAAGCGGAAAACAGTTGGGGTGAGAGAAAAGTTTAAAGCACTTCTGCTGAATCAAGTGGGAAATGCACATGGTGAAACTTGATTTTGAATGAGCGAAGTCAATTGTGCTTGATTTGGATTGTGTATGGGTGTGTGGATGTATAAGATTTGAGCAGGTTTCCCCTAGCAGGCTTCTTGAGGGGGGGCACTTCTGGTGCGTCCAAGGAATAGTATGCATTTGGAGTACTGACCTGATGTCGATATCCTTCATTGACCAGCGCCCATATTCTAGGGTTGCTTTTTTTGCTTGAGAAACGGCAAAAACAATATAATGTTACTAGCCGTCTGACCTTTTCAGGCACGGCAAGTATGACTCTCTATCTTGCAGTTTGATTGTCTGATGCGTATCATATCGTTCTGCTAAAAGTCTTTGATAACAAACGTAATATAATAGTGCTTATTACACTTTGGTAAAGTGATTGTAGGTAAATATCTCTATCTTATTGTTCTATATCATATACAGCACTATCATAGCCTCGAATGCAATCAAATTAAAAGCAAGAAAGGATTCTTATTTGAAGTACCATACATATGCAATCTTGAACGAGGTGACAATCTTCATTTTGCATTAGATTTCTCATTTAGATGAGCAATAGGCAGCGATTAGACCAATACAATTGATCAATATGCACAAGAAGCAAACTACAGGTGTCAAATTAAGCTATTGTACCTTTAATTTCGCAACCCTGCTCATATGAACTTCCAACAGCCTCAATTATTACCTTTAAATCATAGGCATAAAAGTATTTTTGCCAACTAGAATCAAATAAATCGCCGAATAACTTTTAAACTCAAAATGGGAATTTTTGGTTGATTTTCGACTTGATTGATCTATTTTGCGAGATTTGACTATGTAGAATGTGATGATCACCCGATATACTTTTATGCTTTCCTGGAGTACTTTTCAAGGCGCATCTAACGGTGCCATTTATGAAAGATGTTTTGAAAAAGCTTACTGAGCTATTCTTGAAATTATGAAATGAGATTTTTTAGCAAAAATACCGAGATTTTGTATACAAGAGTCATACAAACAAAGTTCCACGGGTTGCGTTGAAACGGTAGAAACATTTTGAATTAATACATGTCATAGTAGAAGTTTTCCATTTGAGGGTCAAAAACGTGATCGTTTGATTTTTTGATGAAAACCATGAGGTGCCCCTCATAATTTTTGGTGGTTTTTTGGCAATCTCAAAAAAGTTGAGCCAAGGCATCAGAGCGTTAGTGCCAGATCAAAGCAACTGTATGGTGCTATTTTGGCAGCCTGAAACAACTTCAAACATGAGAAATAACTTCCCAAATGCACTCAATTTTTGCTGTGATTTGCACACTGTTGAGTAATCAGAGGCAATGCAAACATGCTATGCGCCCGTATATGAGTTATTTCCGTCTATTCAGACCTGAAGCTTCTTAGAAAAAGTCAGATCTACAGTTACAGATGGTTTACAAGAGTTCTCATCAAAGATTGAAAGGGTTAAATGTGATATTTGATTAGATATGGCAGTAGGATTGTAGGTTTGCTTTATGAATTCATGGGCGAACGTTTAAAGCACGCTTCCCGTTTCAGTTGTCTCTCTTCAGATTTGTTGTTCATGTGCCTGTCTTTAAAAGAACCATACCAAATACAGCAGTTTCCAAAAACTGCCAGCAATTGAGCTAGAGTGCCAAGCTCACAGCCATCACATTGAGCATACTGAAGGCTATAGTCATGATGTAAGTGTTTTGAAGCATCCATTCATCTTCTGCAACCATAATGGCCGGGTGCCAAGGCTAGTTTTGCATTATATGCTCATAATTCACAACATTTCCCATTTTTTAGGTTTCAGAGACTTTAAGCTATTGGAGCCAAAGTCATATCGAATAGGACGAATGAAATGACTAATGCCAAAAAAAAGCAGGTCATTGTTTGTTAATGTTTAAAAGTCAAAAGGTGCTTTCATACTTGATCGTCGATTATGAAACATCGCTCATCATTTGCCATTGGCACTGGCAGTAGAAGAGTCCTGTGATGGGAAGTTAAACTTCCATGATGTTGAAACGAAATGTCCAAATATGGTGCATAAGTTGTCACTGGACCTCATTACCATTGGAGTTGTTGTTCCTGCAATCCGCGGAATCTGAGACAAAATGCTCTATTTGTATAAATAAAAACTGTGATTTCACCTCCATGTTCTTGTTCCTCTCTTAATTCTCTACAAGACACACACGTTCTTTGCTGCAAAACAACATGGCTGATGTAAACTGGTTTTATATTAAGCATGTAGGCACAAACAAAATAATTGCTTCTTGCCTCTGTCAAGACGATGCCGCTAATGACAATACGATACTTCTAATGAGAACGCAAGTGATTGTAACAAAGCCGACCTACTCTGACAATGAATTGTGGTGCTGGGATGATCGGCAGCTTCGAAACAAAAGTACAGGCCTGGTGCTTGACATTCGTAAGGGTAAGCGCTTTTTTCTCGGAGCGTTTGGGATGATTAATAACGATAAATACAGGCAGAATTCGTTTTATGGAGGATACAGAAATATGCCTGTATTATAAGAAGTCAATGGAAGATTCTCAAAATCAGTTGTGGGCTGTCCAAACAGAGTTTCAACAGACAGAACACCCATTGGTCAAACGTCGATCATCCCAAAAAACTCGCATAGGAAGTGTGATTTACTCAGTTGCCAACAGTGATTGGGTGTTGGATGTGTGTCCTGAAGGCCAAAAGCTGATTTTATTCCCATACAGTCAAGATTTGAATCATCAGCAGAGATGGCTATTCATTCCTGAGAAGGAAATGATCTTGACTGAAGAACCTACTTCACTATCTGACAACAAGATGGCTGGCACATCAACGTATGAAGCGTATTACAGCACTCCTCTCAGTAGTAGTAGCTGTAACAGCAATACTTCTTCATCCTACTCAATTAACTCTATGGGTTTTGCTCATGGTTTGACGCCTGCCAAAAGATGCTCTTCTCAATCATCGCTAGCAGCATCAAGTCGTAAAAGCAGTTGAACTGCCTATGCGTTTGGCCTTCTTTCCCGCATTCATACATACATATTCCACAATCCTTTTGTATTTTACTTGAAATAAATTATTATCAAACATTCCATGTACATGAATTGCTCATTTGACAGATTTGCACTTGTAAATTTTCCTTTTTCACGCAAGCCTGGGGCCTTCAGCGTTCTTTGATAAGAAAAGCTTAGTTTTATTAAATTACAATGTCGATTGGTGTGGATTATGTTTGTTTGAGTGTGATTGAAAGAGTCTGGTGTGTGCATGTTGGTTCCAGGTTGAGGTTGGGGGTTAATGAGAATCGTGAAGATCAACAACACACATGATATTGACATCAAAATTTTTTCCGTAATTCAGTCTGGTATTGTATATATACATTCTATTCTTAGTTGGCAGCTTCTTGCTTGAATTTTTTTGCCAATTCCATCCAAGGTTTAGGAGCTTGAGGCATTAAATCAGCCTAATATTAAAATGTACATCAACAAATGCATTTCCACACTGCAATCCCTCAAAATCTTACCTTGACCAACAATTTTTCGACAGTTTCTGATGGTTGAGCACCCACAGTCAACCAGTACTTGGCACGCTCAAAGTTTAGGTTGATTAATTTGTTGCCTGACTCATCAGCGACAGGGTTGTATGTACCAATCTTTTCAATAGGCTTGCTGTTACGTCCAGTTCGTGCATTGGCGACGACGATATGATAGAATGGTAAGTTACGACGACCGTGGCGAGCAAGACGAATGCGAACAACCATAGTAAATGTTCAGATGTGGATGAAGAAACAAGAGAAAAAGTTGGGTCCCTTGTTGCCATTTGACAAGAATCCCCCGCACAACCGATCAATGGTCACTAGATTACTACAACTGAACCGTCACCGAGCTGAATGTTTAGTGAGTAGCATAGATCATTCAAGTTCAGCATGTTTACTAGACATTTCCGAACGATTGTGCAAGCTAAATCAAGGAATGCTATTGAAACTGTCAATTGATGGACAGCTCTCTCTGCATCTGTAGTTTTTGTTTTAAAAAATAACCGTTTTTATGAGAAATTAGTGCATTTCGAATAAGCATCTGTCAGCTAGATTTGGAGCGGCATCCAAATAAGCACTCCAAGGTGTACTCCAAGAACACTACAGTGTGCAGATGTTCTAGATGTCGAATCAAAAGCTGAAACAGGCTCCATTGTGCTCTTGATGATTTTTATTTGTCTCTATGCCTTTTGTTTCATGAAGCACTTCAAGAGAGTTTGATTCACATGTCTGTGCTAGGGTATTCTGTGATTGACCATGTGCATCTAGATCTTCAGGTCGTCACCCGCAATTGTTAAACTAAACAAACAAGAGAACCACAGGACATCAAGGAGCCGATAGCCTAAATATGATTCCGGTTAATTTATGTTCTACAGTATAAACTTTGTTATACAGTCATCTTTTGAATGCGTAAATATTGCTACTGATTAAATATGAATGGTTCAAATCTAATTAATATCATGACATAACAAGATCAGATGCCTCGAGTCAGTTATTGTATTTCTGCAACTGCCAGCTCGTCTGTAAAGGGTGAAGTAAACCAGTTCAGTAAGCATTGTATACTAGCGCTATATTAAGTGAAAACAACGCTGAACTGTTTGTCCAAACCATCAAGTACGATCATCCTCAAGTTGCTAGGTTCGTCAAGGAGCTGATACTTGGTAATGCTTATGCGGGTCTAGCCAACAGTAGATAACTGCTGAAATTATCGCACTTCATTGCTCCAATATTCAAGACATTCATGTCGAAAATCAGGATGGAATCGAGCTTCTCCCATCATTTCTCACTCCAGAGGATAGCCACTTCAAAGGCCAGCGCACACTCTTGGATAACCAGTAAATGCTGGTACATTGAAATACACGCACTCGTCAGTCCAGCTACAAGTTTATTATCCTACCAACATCTACCGCTTAATGCAACTCTCATTAAAAGCACCACTGGCCTTCAAGAGCAGATACGCCTCCATTGTTCTTATTAAGGATCACTAAATTACCGGGATCAGGTCATTGATACATTTCCAGCGACTGCGAGGAAACTGAAAATCGATCTTTGTCAAGGCTTCTATGACGATGAAGTCAACTAAAGCGCTATTGCCCAGAATATAACATTAAGAAAATTGAAACTTACGAAACCAATGATTCTTACCTTAGTTGGTCTTCGCTATTTGCTCAAAAAGTTCAAGATTTTACAACTTAGAGCTCATTTGTTCAGGACAAGCAGGCGATAGGGAAAATTGGTTCAACGAAGCACAAAACCTGCTTTCACCTCTTCAGCACTATCTTATACATTCTTTTGAAGCATCACTGTCATTTTCATCCAAATTACTCAACTTGTCCGTTGCTAACGACAAATTTATCAAGAAATCAACTATGCGATCATTTTTACCAAGCAAGACTCGTCTTAAAAGAGTCGTTCATATCTGAAAAGATGATAACATGCTTAGGCTTTAGGTCGATCTCTCTATGCGAGGACGAAAAAGACTTTCGTTTGCTCATCGATTGGAACTCTTGAAACAACGCTGTCCCAGCATGGTCCATATAATAACAGAAACACTAGATGACTACTATAGGGGGTTCACAATCGCCAATGGTTGAATCCCTGTTGCTTGAATAACGAACCGCCTATCTGCAATCTGCACTGGGGCAATTTCGACTCTGCAACATTTATCATCGACACCTCCAAGAAGCGCTCTTTCCTTCAGTTTAATCGCATGATACTGTGCGATTTACCTTCTCTGTAGTTTGGTATAGCAAGTAGATTTTAAACCATCAATTAATAGTTGTATCAAAGCCAGGAAAGGGGGAAGTAGCCCCCTTTGCCTATACACTAGTATCAATGGAAGCTATTATTGAGACGATGTGAAGTTTTATGCAGCATTTGTATACTACATTCTCCGTTTATACTACATTTTTTGGTAGTAGAATTGTCGAGCTGGCAACATAAGCTAGCCATGCGTAAATACAAGTCTTCTATCAGATCTATAACAACTTTTTTTTGAGAGCTTGCCATTGCAAAAGACATCTTTATAGGGAAAACCTCCCAAGGAAAAAAAAGAATTTTATCTAAGCAGTTCTCCTTTCAACTCCATGAATCCTATTTGATCAGCGTCGCAACCATCATTGTCATCATCATTGTCATCATGATTAGAAAGGCATTTGGGTCAGCCAGCAGCAGCGACGCCCGCCAAAATTGGTTCAAACTCAGTTTTTTTTTTATGTTCAAGATTGGACAGATTTTGCTTTTTGTCGACTTCAGTAATCTATTTTGTGATATTTGACTATATGAACTGTGATTATCATCCGATGCTTCCTAATACATTCTTGGAGTACTTTTCAATGCGCTTCCAATAATGCCAAGTAAAATAGACATTTTGAATAAACTTATTGAGCAGTTTCAAAAAATATGAAATAAGGCTTTTGGCCAAAATGTCGAAATTTTACATAACAAAGTCCCACAAAGATGATTTCAGAGGTTGCTTTGGATCGATAGAAACATTTTGATTCAAGATATACCATAGTAAAAGTCTTCATTTTCAAGGTGAAAAACACGATCGTTTGATTTTCGTCAAAAACCATGAGGTACCCCTCATGCTTTTTAGTCGATTTTTGGCCATGTTTTTTAGATCTTCAAAAAGTTGAGCAAACATGTCAGGAAGTTACTACTACTCAAGTACAATTGTTTGGCATTATTCCGGTGGCTCAGAAAGGTCTACATGTCAAGGTATGAAGGCTTGAAAATTATCCAATTTGGTTGTATTTTTGCTTTATGGCTTTTATATACGCGGCAAGAAGCACATCTTTGGTAGCTGTAATTTACTGGAAGGGTAGTTCTGCAACCTGTGCAACTTCTAATTCGAATAGGAGGCAAATCGATTTTGGTAAGACTAATTCATGCAAATTTTGATATGTTATGTTGTTGGTAAGCTCATTAATAAAAGAAATGAAAAACCGAATATGCTGCTTAAATACTATGATTTTGCACCTTCACTTCGCTACGGTAAAACTGCCCCATAGGTCAATGTCACCAAATGTTGAATTTGATGCAATCTCGCTACGCTCAATGATGGCGACACCTTGCGGGCTCTCGCTGAAGACATTTTAAAACAGATATAATAAAATTTTGACATATCAAGTAGATCTTAAACAACCAACTATTACTTTAAGGAGTGAGAAATCGAATTTACTGCTGAATACTATGGTTTTGAACCTTCGCTTCGCTGCGATCAAGCCCTCATATAGATCAATGTTATCAAGTATTGGATTAGATGCCTGATTACCATGGCTTTGCACTTTTGATTCACTGCGGCAAAACTCTCCTATAAATCAATGCTACCCAATGTTGGGTTAGATGCATTATTATGTTCTTGGTGGAGGGGCTAAACCCCTTCCCCATTGCCGGCTTCGCCGGTGGTTTTATTCACCTTTGCTCAGTTCTCAATACTACAAAATTTTGAAAGGATATGGTTTGTTTGTCTATATTTTTGAATGTTTTACAGTATATATATTTTAGATTTATACGCTGGATTCATCGAAGATGTCGATATGAAGACTTTCTGGAGATCAAAGCCATCTTAATTGTAAGATAGTAGTATTCGAATGGAACGGTTTTACAATGACATTTGGGCTCAGTGAAGAGTTTAAAGTTGAAACTTCTTTTAGAGAGCAAACGTTAAATAAATTATCAATCATTACTCTTCACAGTAATTATGCTGAGCAAATTCCATGCTAGAATAGCTGTTTGGACGGATCCCTTTGATGTAAGGGCCAACCCACGTCATTGCATTTTGGATTTACCAGTTTACTCCACATTGGAATTACTACGCTTGCAACATGTCAATCAATTGCATCTATCATCAAGCAAACCACCAACTGAAGGAACTGGCTAGAGATATGCTACTCCACATATTACTCATGCTCATAACGCTAGTGTAGCTTAGATTGCACATGAAACTGATAATGACAAGACTTTAAAAGAAGGGCATTTAGAGGGTTAAAAGCATAGTTTATTATCATTTACATTATTCATTCACATTTATATATAAAAAAAAAAGACTCTTCTTGGTTTCTCAAAGCCATTTACAATGGCAATGATACTCACAGGAACAACTACGAGAAAGTGAGAGTCTAAATGTTCCCAAATGGAGAGCGTACCTAGCGTGAGGCCCAACTACCAACCCAAGACACTGTTACATGCTCAGGCGACCTACGAGTAAGCCAATGGGTCGAACACACACAACAGAGCACGCAACCCCAAAAAAACACCTCCATTAACAAAAAAAAAACCTGACTTGAAAGAAACAAAGTGGTGCCATAAGAGAGAGCGATACAAGTAAAAGCAAGAAAGTAGCATGCAAACGAAAGGGTGTTACACGCTAATAGTAAAAGAACAAAGGTAAAGTATTCATCCATCTAAAAGTTTCCCTCTTTATATACCATGTCACTGTGGAAAGTCTCGAACCAAAAGACCTCACGGCGTTAGTTTCGTATTGTTTCGTGTTGTTTTGATGAATTTCGCGATGTTCACCTCACCTTGGATCCTGAAAACAGCACCATTGCATTCCCCAAACAATTTGCTTTCCAATGATGTGCATACTTTATAGTAGAATATCTTCTTTTTGACTATGCAACGACCATTTACTTGCTCATCTCTCTTCAATCCATGTCGTTTTGTTTACTCTTTTACATGTAAAAATTTTTTTTAGTTCGATTTTGCCTACAAATGAGCTG